CTGTAGTGGAATTGTCATGGCTTGAAGCAGTGATTGAGCACCTGGTGGGAAGGCAGGGCCAACCCAGGGTTGCTCAGGTGCATGCAATGTACCTAATGACTAGAAGGTGTGGAGTCAGGATCCACCCCTTCCCAGACCTCTTTTAAGGGTTGGCAGTAGAAGCAAGGGCATCTTACTGAAGCTTCTTGCATACCTGAGGTCTTCTGAAGGTAAGCAGCTTTTTTTCCCCCCCTCACTTTTTTCTGTTGCTATTGCATTTGAGCTAACTGTCACTTGCTGCAGCTGGGGGTCCTGCTGCTCTGCTGTTGTGTTATGCTTTCCCTTGTGTTACAAAACACAAACCATCTTTTTCCTTGGTTAAAAGGAAGTTTAAGACGCTTGCAGCTCATAGCTTTCCAGGGACATACACTGCATACCTCTTGAACAGGGATAACTTATCTTCCTAACAAGACAACTTGGTTTCTTAGGTTTCAATCAAACTTCAAGAAACTAGGAGGTATCGTGTCTGCTATCTGCCTGTAATTTCCAAGTGATCAGCCGATTGCTGGCACTCCTGTCAGGCAGCAGTGTGGTGAGAGGTGGTGATAGAAGAGTAGGGAATAGGAGGCAATGAAGTGAAATATCGAGGTTAGCTTTGCCAAGCATCCTGCACCAGCCACTAACCTCTCTGCACTGCGGACTGTTGCCCAGCAAAATGTATCACCAGTCCCACAAATATCACTGCTTTAACACCTTGTATATCCCTGCAAATGGTTCTTTATGGAAGCCTTGCTTCTTATGCTAGCCCTCTACAATAATCCTCTTGTAACTTTTCAACTTGTCACCAGGTTTATAAAACTTTAAAGCTAGTGCTATAACAAACTGAAACAATGTTATTGCAGATGTAGGAGAGCATCTTGGGATGAATAAATTATAGGAGCCACGAAGAAATCATGATGACAGCGGCTCCGTGCTCCAAGTTGCTTATGGTGTGCAACACAGGGGGAGCAGGTTTAGGAATGCAGAGATCATAGGGCAGGGAAATTGAAGCATTATGAAGGATAACCATCTCTTCTAAACACAATATGTCTGGTTGTTTTACTTAATGAAATCTTTCATGAATGCTTGAAGGGAATCTGAACTGTCTGGTACTGGAAAAATACATCCCTGAAGATAAGGGAGGCAAGGCTGCAGGTGGAAATAGCAGCTTCCACTCCCACCCTGCAGCAAGTGGGCAGACTGGGCCAGTTCTTCAGCTGTCTGCTGAAGGGCATGCAGGAAAGACTTCCAGCTCCTGAAGCAGTTGATGCTGGATACCATCAGAGCTGGATCCAACCAAATAACTTCCCCAGCCTGTTTCCTCAGAGGAAACTAAGAAGTACCATCCTCTTGTTCTTAGCATATCCACTGAGCTACAGAGCATCATTATGAAGGTGTTACTCTTTTCAGGCTGCCTTTAAAACCCCAACTTGCAAATTCATACAAGACCTGAGAATTCTCCAACCAGGCCTTTCATCTTCATGGATCAGCACTTCCCAGAGGATCTGCCACTCAGGTGTGCCCTCCCCAGTACCTACTTGGCCTGGCCCCTGCCACCTTTTCCCAAGCATTTCAATTGATGTCACTGATCTTGGCTCAGCAAATAATCCTTCTAATCAATGACAAGAACAGAGGCTGCAGCTCAGCATTGCTTAGCAGAGCTAAGAGGAGAACACAGCAATAAAGCATTACTTGAGCAAGTGAGCTTGAAAATACGGCTGGCCACACACAGCAGCTGTGGTGAATGAGATGTCATTTTTTAAAATAAGGACAATAGTTTTGGTCCCTCATGATTAGGAGATCATTACAAAGCCAGCAGTGCACCTAGGAGCCTCTTTTAACCCAGTGTGACTCCATCTGCACTGTACTATGTCATAGTGTCAGGGCATGGCCCTCAAGAAGATAAGATGCTTTGCCTTTGTACAATAAGGAACCAGGAGATACTGAGCTTGTACAGGCTACTGCAGTGTGTTCTGTGGTGTCTGGGAACTTCCAGGGCAATGACACAGTTGTGTTGTCTTTGCGTAGCCCTGTAGCCTCCAGGATTGAAATGTCATCACATAATCATTTCGGCAATACCATTCCCATGGGAGCAGAGGCAAAGAGTGTCACTTAGATTGTGGATGGAGCTGCATTCTTCTAAAGCACCGCATCCAGCCAAAGTCCTGTGGAAAACAACTTCTTGAATCATGCTATGGCCAGGCACTGGCAGCACTTGTTCCCTACCATTGTGCAGCCAGTAAATGCCAGGAGTCCCAGGGACAGGCACATGGGAGAGCTGGGGGTTCTCCTCAGCCTGCCCAACCCATTGTTCCAGAAAGGATGTCTGAGGATTAATTAATTATCCTACAAGGGGCAGTAAGTAATAACACTCCTTGTGGAACAATAGAAGCTATTTGGTTGCCATGACAACTTGGCTCCACTTGTGTGCCTTTAATTTATTCATTGCACAGTCCCTTCCCCAATCACACACAGTGCCAAAAAATGCCTTGTTTTTCTTGCCAGTCACCATGTCCAGAGCAGGGGTAGGACATGGCCCTTTCCCCAGGGCATCTGTCACCCAGAATGATGCACGTAAATCTCTTCTGCCTGGAAAACTGCATCCCATGAGATTCTGCTCCCTGTAGGTTTGGTGTTTTTTTTTTTTTTTTTTTTTTTTTTTTTTTTTATTCTCATCATTTAACCCCTTTCAAAGCCTCCTTGCTACATTTCTTATAGGTCTTGATCTTGAGTGGGTTCTCCTGCAAACACAGGCAGGAAGAATGACCAGGAGTTTGTGTGCTTGTCAACCTCTATGGAGAACCAGGAGATAATCAGAAGCATGGAAGCGACATGCCATGGCAGCATCAACAGATGTGTGGCTTAAGCAGTGTGTAGTGCTCACTGGTTGCAGCCATGCCATGATTACAGAAACACTCAGTGTCCATCAGCAGTTCTGCCCACGTTCTGTAAGACCCAGAGTGATGTGCAGATGAAGGTCAGTGCAGGTTCAACCTGCTCTCCCCTACACTCCACAGAGGTTTCTCTACAATCTTAATCATACGCTTTTGCTCCAGCAGTCCTTCTGCAGAGGAAATATGGTGTTCACTGGAAAGGGGAGAGCGTTGCTCTCACAAGGAAAGGGTTGGAAGTATTGCTAAAAGAATGGCTGCTAGCACAGTATACAGCATGCCTGACTACAGCAGGTGTGTGGCAAAAGACTTGAGAAGACCTTACAGCCCATGGGCACACCTCCAGCAGGAGCTTCATCTTGAACTTGAAGCATTTAGCTCTCTTCTGATATCTATACAGGAAGATGAGGGTAATTGTAGCACTTAAGCTGAGAATAAATCCTTCACTTCCTGCAATTACATTTGTGCAATCTGGGGTCTTATACAACATTTCCAGACCCCAAATTTTTCATTCTGACTTTAGCAAGGAAGGTGACAGCTGCCATGTAGGAAAATTCAGGTCCAACTTGAGACTGGGGGAGGAGGTGACTTAAAGTTGAGCTTTGTCCTGACAGGCAGGATAGATGGAACTGGGTTAAGCCATCTGCCTTTTTGAAGTTGAGCTTAACCTCAAGCACAGTTACTCAATGCAGTAGGGACTGAGAGCGTTACCTGAATTTTTGTATGTATGTGCTGCTCAGTGTCACTATTAACACTGAGGTGTAACATGCCATACAGAGAATGATAGTAAAGGTTGGGCTAGAGAAAACAGGGCAGGGGAGTCCGGAATCAGATAAATAGAACAGGAGCATTGGGAGATCAAGATTTTAACAGTCTTGAACAGCAAGAGCTCTAAGCTGGCCTAGGATACCCTGCATGGGTCAGGAATGAGGAATAGGACAGCTGCTGCTGAATGGTCCCCATGCATCCTCATGGCATGCAGAGGGACTTGGAGAAAAAGCCTCTGGGCAGGAGGGAGGAAGGTAGGTCTAAGTGACAGATCAGTGCAATGCAATGGGGTGAAATCTGTTATCTGAGCAGAGAACATTTTTCCTTAATGGTAGGAAAAGCTCCAGCCTATAAATGCCACCCCAAGCAAGCAGATTGCTCTAAGATGCCTCCCTTCCCAGTAGAGATCTCTAAAGAAATGCCAAATCACTACCAGCAAGCATACAAAGCCACTGCCCATTTTCCATCTTTGCAGTCACAGGCTGACTTAAAGCTACTCTTGCTTTTGTGCCACCAGAAAAATACAAGCATCTTCTTTGAAGAAGTAAGCATTAATGGCTGGAGAAAACAACTGGCACAAAATGAAAAGAGATGAGAGTCCACTCTGGATAAGTTGTAACTAGTTCCAGAGATGCCAGCCGAGTTTCTTCATATTGATAGACGACACTCAGGATGCTTCTCTGAGCTAGTGAATGCTAACCTTTCCAGGACTTGTTTCATCAGGAAGTAAACTACAGTCCTTCAATCACATCACAAATACTACCAGCAGATACAGGCATGTACCAGAGGTCCATCACATCAGCCTTGCTTTGTGAGGGCTTAATTTCAGAATTGTTTTGGTCTGGAGCTGGGCTGTGGGGCCAGTAGTGACACACGCCAATTAGTGGGTGGAAAGAGCAAGGCTCAGACAGAAACCAGAAAAAAAAGTTTGGAGACCTCATTTGGTACAGCCCGGTGATGTGCTGAACTTTCTTTTTTTATCACACCGCACATGAAGAAATCATGCTTGAATTTGTCATGATTTAGTGATGGAGAGCTGTCTCAAGCCATAGTACAATATCTCTCGTAATCCTATGTCCAATGAGAAAAAAAACGCGTTTTGTATCAGAAACTACAACTTTTCTCCAACAACTTCCCAATAGTTGCAGGGAAGATCTGCAGGAGGAGCTTAAGGAAGCAAAGTTGACTGGCCTTCTTTTCGTCAGGGCACCCTGGCAGCTCAGGTGACTCCAAGGAGAGATTGTCTTGGATGTGCATCTCAACCAGGAAAAGGTAAAACATTTTATTAGCCTTTTGTTCTGTTTGTTTTCATCCCAAACTCACCATGTTGACTTCAGAGATCTGGTCAATGCTGGAGATATGGATGCTCATTCCCACTGTGACAGGGTTACCTGAAAGACAAACAGACTAGGTTAGGACCATATCCAGGCTCTCTCCTCCTGCCTGCTATTACAGCACTGAGTTGAAATGCATGGATGTGACTTGAAGCAGCCTCACATTCTGCAAGTACCCAGAATTTCAAAGTCACATGTGCTCAGATTATTAGAGAAGAATAGATTTGTCTGACTCCCAGCTTGATTCTTTAATTCTTGGAAGTTAATCACTCCCCCTAGTTATACAATTATCTCTAGTTATTCTAAATAACACCTTCAGAGACATCAGCAGGCTCTCAGAGGTCTTGCAAAAGGTGTTGCTGATTGACTATACACAGAACAGAGCATCAAATCCATGCAGCACATAGGCAGGAGAGATACTCAAGCTCACTTCTCCATCCTCATGCCAGCACTGCCATACCAAACAAAGCCCAGATGAGTTTTAATACCCAAGACACCAGACAAGTAATGGAAACAGATCCATTAAGTTAGAAACTAGCATTTCTACTGTGGCTTTTCAGGGAAGCGAAGAGTAGTGCTGGGATTAGAGAACAAATTCCCCATTTTACCATTGGCATAAGGGTACACCATCCCTCACTTAAGCTGTGTAAAATGATTTGCAGAGAGATATGCATCTGCTGCTGAAACTAGCACAAGCTCTACCTACAGCAGCTAGGGATAAGATTTGAGAGCCACCAGTCCCCTGTCATCCCCACTGCTCCACAGTCAAACTCAATTCCACTGTAGCCAACAGTCCTCTTCTCACATGTGCCAGGTAGAAAATGCTTCCTTGCAGTGTAGTGCAAGTGAGGGAAAGGCAAGCAGCTCTGCCACTCAAGGTATTAACTCTTCCATGGACTCATTAGTAGATCTAAGTGCTGGAATATTTACAGATAATCATGAAATGGCTTAGAAAGTAATTAGGAGATTGGGGTAGAGGGGAGAACCACACAACTGGAAATGAAGTGATTTTTTAATTATATGTTTCCAGAAGTAGGAAAGTAGTGTCATTAGGGCTGCCTTGTGATTGGGTGTACTGTTAACCAAGACCCTCTGCTGCAAATTAAGCAGCATTATCTTTTAATGGAATATGAACAACACTGAAAACATCAGAATCAACAACTGTAATTAGACCCTGCTAGGCAAATCCCCTGAAAGAGGCAGTGCTCTTCTGCAGCACTCCTGGCTCGCTGTCAGTGGTGCCAGGGACAGGGTGCTCAGGAAACCCTTGCAGAGCCTCCAGAAATCCCCATGCAGGCTCCCAGCCACATCCTTGTATTGCTCTGCTCATCTATTACAAAGGAACCAGGTGGGAAAATAACCACAAGTTACTCTGTGACAGCCAACCTTCTCACATCCTGCGCTGTGCCAGAGGCTGACAGCAGCACCAGTAAAGCACTTCAGGAAGTCTCACTTCAAGTAGTTTGTCTTTTTTTCTGCACTCAGGACCTTGTAGTGATAGCAGCTATGGCAGGAAGTATCACTGCCCTGAGGACCTTACTGACTAATTGGCTGCAAGAGGAAAGATGGGGCTGTGTCAGGGCTGCAGCAGAGCTGGGGAGAAGCCAGCTCCTGACTTCTGAGCCCCACTGCATGCCAGTGTTGTTTCCTCCAAGAGATGCCCTGCTGTCTTCTTTGCTTCCAGTTTGTCAATACTGGTGAATGTGGTACTGTGGTCAGGTGTCCTTTCCTTTCTTGGTGAGAGGGAAAAAAACAGCTTTTCTTCACCCCTGCCATGCAAGAGACCCACTGAAACAACCGGCCCGAGTGGCAATAGGAAGCACTGACAGCGGTGATATGCAAATATTTGTCAAATGCAGAGACTATCCAATCTAATCTATCTGTCTAGACATTTGTGCTGTGTTCATCACCATGGTATCTGAGTGCCTGGGGTCATGCAGTGACTCAGTGTCAGAGCTGTGGATAAGATCCAGACCTTCCAACTCCCAGCTCCAAGACAAGTGCTGGAGCGGATATCATCGTGCTGCTCCCCATCAGCCTGTGCTCACCCGCACCCAGCGCTTGTGCCCAGTCAGCAATGTTCCCAGTGGCCACTCTGGGCACTGCCAAGACCTCTATACCCCATCCATCACAGCAAGTGGGAAGCTTCATGAGCTACTTCCATCCCCTGGGATATGGATTTGTCAACTCACTCCAGAGATGAAGGTATGCAAAGATCTATATTGGATCTACCCTTGGCTTGATTGCCAGGAAGCCATTTTACCTCCATTCTAACTTGAAGACTGCCCTTCCACCTCCTCAGGACAGCACACGTGCATACACAGCCAGCAGAAAATACTTGCTCTACCTCTTACCACAGCCCAGAGAGAAACTAGATCGGCTGCTGTCCAACATTCAGGCTGTAAGTAGTACACAGAATAAACAAAGGACATCAATTCTGCCAATGTTAATAGCTTCAGGCAAGAGGGATGCAAAAAGTAGGGTATTTAAAATACAGGATAACGTCATCTGAATTTGTTCAAAAGGCAGAGCTCTGCATCTGCAGATCTGAAAAATGCAAAAGAAAACCTGATATTAAAGATTTATGCTTTTATCTGCAAACTAGACCTTTAGCCCTTAGAGAAAATGCTTATGCCTTGGAAAGGTTTGTAGGCAAGTTCACAAGTGAGGGACAGTGAGAAACTGCCTCTTCCACCAGTGAACAGCACTGCCATGCATCTCCATTTCTCACCACCACTGGAGAAGTCACCAACTTTTTGTCCTCAAAGCAGTTTGACGTCTGTGAAAAATGTTCTCAGGGGAAGTTGGAAGGAAAGCAGACAAAAGAGTTATAATAAAATCAGTCCTTTTTCTGCAAGTGATACTTGTCAAATACAAAAACAGCCAAGGTAGAGAACAAGTTGTGCTAATCTGCAATATTTTTCCAGCAACCAGTTATTACTTTCACATTTTATTTTATAATGTTTTAAAGCCCCAGAACCCAGCATCGTGTTGCTACAGAAGCAATCCCTATAGCACAACTGCAGAGGAAAGATCATGTTCCCAAGCCTGTCTGCTTTCACTGCAGCCAGGGGTGATGGCAGCCTGGATCAAGGCATTTCTTCCAGTTTTCAGCCTTGTAGTTCAGCTGCAGGAGGAAGCAAAATCTGTAGCACAAAATTCAGTGTATGTAATGTGCCTCCAAACACAATATGGTGACTTGGGCAGCTGGACTGCGCCATGGTTCACATCGCCCTTTCTTCACTCCTAGCCCAGAAAGTTAAACTAGAGCAAGTTTGGATTTCTCTGCCATTAGATTTCCAACTACAATATAGAAACAGTCAAAGACTCAAGAACAGTGAGCAGTCAAATGTAACTTATTATCTACTAAAGCCACATCACTTTTATAAACTACAGCCAGTGCTTTGAGGAGCCTGGTTCTTGCATCTCTGAGTATGTGAACCTGCCATTGCTGGCACAGCAAAGGCTTGCAGTTGCTAAGGGACAGGCTTCAGCCTCAAGACTACGCTCCAGCCCAAACTACAGGAACAAAGGGTTGACAAGGATCTTGGGAGGTGGCACAGCCCACATCCTTCACAGAAGCAGACTTAAAACTTCTTTAGTGGAGGCTTTCTTTAAAACCACCAGTATCAGAAATTCTCTTGCACCCCTGAACAATCTCTTGCATTTGACTGCAATGAGAAAGCTTTACTTGAATATCCAAATTAAACCTTCTCTGCAGTACAAGCGTAGTTGATTGTCTCATCATCTCCCACCCTCCCCCTCCCCCCCAATGATAGTGAAAGAATAAATCAATCATCCTTCTTTGACAACAGTTTTCATGTACTGAGAAACCATGACATCCTTCTCCCTCCCCCACTAATACTGTCTTTCCTAGATTAAATGCACCTGAATTCTCCAACCTCTCCTTGGAGGTCATGTTTTCTAAAGCTCTAACAATTAGTGCTGTTCTCCTCTGGCCTTTTGCCAATTTGTCTACATCTCTATTTTAAAGGATGGTAGCCAGACCCTGAAGTAAAGATGACATGTCATCAGCACAGAGGGGGGAAAAAAACAACCTCCAATGTATAGCATTCTCCTAAACCACTTTAGGTATACTGCTGTCCAGAAACCACTCCAAACCCACTGCTCCCATCCTGAGACCTGCTTGTTTTGAGTAGGAGTTCAGAGATATCAATGGAGCAGCCCTGTTCTTAACATTCAAGTGCATCGCATGTAGAAGAGAGGGAATGTAGCACTGTCTTTTGGCCAAGAGTGAGGCTCATCCAATCTCATATATGCATATATATGCATATCCCAGTGTTGCCTGCTTGCACCCTGCCTGTGGCATTATCAGTCTCCAAGATTGCCTGGGAAGATCATGGAGCAAATCCTCCTAGAAGCTATTTTAAGGCACGTATGAGACAAAGAGGTGATTCAAGACAGCATGGCTTCACCAAGAGCAGATCTTGCCTGACCAATCTGGTGGCCTTCTACAATATTGATGGCTTCAGTGGATAGGGGAAGGGCGATGGATGTCATCTACCTGGACTTCTGCAAAGCCTTTGACGTGGTCCCTCACCACATCCTTCTCTCTAAATTGGAAAGGTGTGGATTGGAGGGATGGACTGTTCGACGGATCAGAAATCGGTTGTCTGAACGCAGCCAAAGGGTTGTGGTCAATGGTTCTGTGTCATGGTGGAGATCGGTCACAAGCGGTGTCCCTCAGGATGATGCCCTTCATCAGCAACAGACGGTGGCATTGAGTGCACCCTCAACAAGTTTACGGATGACACCAAGCTGAGTGGTGCAGTCGATACATTGTAAGGAAGGGAAACCATCCAGAGGGACCTGGACAGCCTGGAGAAGTGGGCCCATGAAAACCTAATGAGGTTCAATAAGGCCAAGTGCACGGTGCTGCATTTGGGTTGGGGCAATCCCAGGCATTTATACAAACAGGGAAGATCTTCTTCAGAGCAGATGGTGGAGCAGCCCTGTGGAGAAGGACTTGGGAGTCATGGTGGAAGAGAAGCTGGACATGAGTGAGCAGTTGCACTTGCAGCCCGGAAGGCCAACTG